CATTTGTCACAATCTTTCAACTCCTTGTTGTTCGCCATCATCACTGCCAAAATAAACAAAGAACCGGAGAAAAGATATATAAATCCTTATCAAGAATAATGTAAACACCAACATTCTAAATAAATGACGGTCTACAAGACTTGGATGAGTGTGCAAGGTTTTGGGCTCATGTAGACACTAAGCATGTGACACACATGTCTAACACTATAGAAACTAAGATACTTTAATCGCTTAAAATCCCGCCTCCCGACCCGTCGAATGTATATATGAATGTGTTGTATCTAGAAGGGGCTAAGTTGCGTTTCTGACATGTATATTGGTGTATGACACTGACACTTGTACCCATGTCCTTATAACATAGATGATGGAGCTTTCTTATTTCTTAAAATTTCAAACATAAAATCTTTAGTCATTTTCTTTGATAAATCTTTAGTCATTTTCTCCGAGTGATTTCTATAATGGTAAAAATTACCTTTTCTGATCATTAGTCTCTAATTCTCTATCTCGATTTAGTTTCTCTCTATAAGATTTGTTATCTTGGTTTCTGGATTTTTCATTCATTTGTTGCAAGAATCTTTGTGTTGAAAGGGAGATATCGGAGGAGAAGCGATTTATTCAATGCCTCAGGTTGTCATCACACGCTAACTTATCCCATAAGCAAACTGGTTTAATCGCTTTGTTTATCTTATTTTTCTCTCATCTTTGTATTTATTTACTTTTAATTTTCTCTGCATTTCCTCTGAATTCAACTTTGCGTAACAACTTGATTTCTTAGTTTAAAGAGAGGCATGGATTGTCATAACATTCCCAACTTCCAATGCTTAACTTCCCTTTCAATTTTCTTTTCACCAATGATTTAACCCAACTTCCAATGCTTCATGTTCCTTTCCTCTCACAGTCGTTCCTGAAAATGAAAAATGGTGGATATAGCAGAAAAATCCTTTACTTCGTAAAAGAGGTCCATGAAAGTTATCGCTCATTTATTGAGATCCCCATCGAGCAATTCAGTGTTGTATCCTATTTGGCCAGCAATTAGGTGTATATCTCCACCGTTCAGTCGAAGTGCCAGTCAGACTTGCTGCATAGAAAGCACTATCCAATGCCCATATTTTGGAACTTTTGCCGCCTATAAATGATTGCATTGCCGAGATTGAAGGATATCTGATCCCTTCTGAGGTACTGGATTAGACTTCTGTTTGCTTCCATGCCCCGACTTTACTTCATACTGGCATCCTTTGACAGCTCTGTCTCTGACTTATGTGCACTGTTTTTTAGTGAGAAAAAGAGAATTACATTTGTAAATAGTTAGAGAGATAAAGGTTTGTATTCTTTTAGTGAGAGAAAGAGAGAACATAAAGAGATTGTAACAGAAATACAAATAGAAGAAGGATCAAGTGGAAAAGGAAAAGGTCCAGTGGTTGTCTTTCTCTCTAACTGATCATCAATAAAAGAGGATAAGGGGCATATCTGTGCAAAGTTTGAATGTGCATCTGTGTAACTCTGATAAGGCCACTATTTAATTTCTAGAGAATCATCGATGCACTTCAATTTTAAACTTTTCTGCTGCCTGACTTATGTCCTAACTCATGCTGCTCGATGTAGCCACCCTTCAACTTACTGTTATCTCCCTAATAAGAAAAATAAAATAGAAAATCTGTCTTTAGGTATCCTTGTAGAGGCAGAGGGAGACCAGCTGGTCCTTGAGATGATGATTTCTGGCTCAGGGCAGCTCTTGACCCATGTCATTCGCTTTTGTATTTTTGTGTTCTTTGATCCTTTTTATATATAGAAATGTTTTTATCCATCAAAAAAGGTACAAAGTATTTTGATGCATCACCTTAACATGGTTGAAAGGCTTGTATTATGCTAGCGTTAGTTCAATTGCGCATTTGAATCATGAGTTTGTTTTCCCCACAGCATGTATATGTTCTTGAAATATGTTATATATATATATATATATATATTTTCATCCATGTGATGGTTGTGTTAGGATGGATGGGTGTCTTGCTTAAATGTTTAGCGTTAGAAGCATTGGGAGCGGAAGACGATGTTGATAGCAAAGTTATTGCGCTGGATAACCGAACCTCTCCACATCATGCAGCCATTGAAAAGGCAAAGCTCAGGTAACCACCATTGCCATTTTCCTCTAGATATGTTTCCATCATTTGCTTTTTTTTTTTTTTAAAATATCAAAGCAGTTGAGAATTTGATTGAGAGAGGAAGGGAGAAGCGAACTAGACGAGTTGTTGCGCTGGATAACTGAACCTCTCCACTTCATGCAGCCATTGAAAAGGCTCAAGCAGTGCTCAGGTAACCACCACCGCCATTTTCTCAAGATATCTATCCATCTTTGGATACTCTTCTTTTCTTTTCTTTAATATCAAAGCAATACTATGATTGAGCTACTCACAGGCAGGAATTTAATGCGAGATAGGAAAGGAGAAGTGAACTAGAGTTTCTTGAGAAGGTAAGAACCTGTTTGTAGTTGTCTCACTTTACCATTCTCCTCGATACATTTGATGCGGTTGCAATCCCATTTAATAAAGAAGAATTTCCATTCTTGTGTTGTAGGGAGGCAATCCCTCTTCTTCCTATTCCTCAAAATCTTCTTCATCGGCCTTTGTGGACTCTAGCTTTGCGAACGCAATCAACCAAGCCCAAGGCAATCCTCACGAGATCCTTTAAGCGATGGGCTTCCTGATCAATGGCCTACATGAAGCCCTTGAGATAACGACTCAAGATGCCAGTATAAGTCGAAGAATGCCAAAGGTAAGGCTCCCGCCGCCAATTTAAGAGCATCTCTAGAGCTATCCAACTCTCTTTCAAAGTAAGGTACAAGAAAGGGGAACGCTCAGCTAAGGTCCTCCCCACTCCCTCGGCTCCTTAGCATTCTCGTCGCTCGACCATGAGTGCCATTCGCCCCTTACCTTTGCTATGAAGATCTTTATTTGGAATATAAGGGTTTGGACCACCTAAGAAAACAACAAAATATTCGTCAATTTGTTTCACAGTATTCTCCCTCTCTTCTTGGTTTGGTGGAAACCAAGATTTCCTTCCCCCACTCTCCTAAATTCAAAATATTTGGGGTTTTCCCCTAGCAGTGGTTAGCTCTGGATGGTCCCATCTCAACACGCTTTAATTGCCTCTCACATTGGTACAGTTCTCTGATTTAATTGCCCCCATCTCAACACGCTTTAATTCCCATGACAAAACTGCCCCTTCAATGGTACAGTTCTCTGATTTCTTAGCTCATTACAGTCTTCTAAACATCCTGTTGGAAGGAGTGGAGTTCAGTTGGTCTAGTCATTTGGTTAATCCAAGCCTCTCAAAATTAGATAGATTTTTAACCCCTATCGAGTGGGATCATGAGTTACCTGGCACCCACTCTCTGGTGCTTCCCAAGCCCGCCTCAAATCATAGACCTATCCGGCTGGATACCCAGTCCCTTCCTCGAGGGCCTAAGCCTTTTCTCTTTGAGCTATCTTGGCTCTAAGAGCTCGGCTTCCCCTCTTCTGTCTGTAACCATTGGGAGTCCTTTTCCCCCCTCGTGAATGGGTGGGCCCGTTTTATCTTGTAGAAAAAGCTTCAAATGCTCGAAGTTTTCTTGAAATCATGGAGTTCACTGCTCCCTGAAAACTTGTGATATCCAAAAGACTCCCTTTTGAGGTCTATTCAACACTGAGACTTCATTGAAGAACTTAAACCTCTCTCCCCTTCTAAGTTGGACTCTCGATACATCCACAAACATGATTACCAATGCCTTCTAAAGAAAAAAGAAATTTATTGGGCTCAAAGGGCCAAAGTCAAATGGCTCAAGCTTGGCAACCAAAATATAGCTTACTTTCACATGATAGCCAACTGTTGAAGAAGGGAGAACTCTATTGCCCACTTCAAGGTGTAGGACCAGATTGTTGACCTTCCCAATCTCATTGAGGTAGCGGCTGTCGAATATTTTTCTGAGCTTTTCTCTTCCCATTCTGGTTCTAGGCCAGTAATGACGGACCTCTCCTTCTCTTCAATTTCTCCCGAATCTGCAGCTTGTTTGGAAAGCCCTTTTTAAGAGGACAAAGTACTCAAGGCCATTAAAGATCTCAATGGAGACCAGACCCTCAGCTCTGACAGCTTCCCCATAGCCCTCTTCGAAGTCTTTTGGGATACCCTTAGGATTGATATCATGGCTTTTTTTTCTGATTTTCACTCTCGAGCGACTATCCATAGGGCGATGAATGCCACTTTCATTACCAAGATCCTCAAGAAAGAGAGAGCAGAAGAGCTTAAAGACATCATACCCATTAGTCTGATTAATACTTCCTACAAAATTCTCTTGAGGGCCTGGCTTCTCGCCTTAAACGTGTCCTTGGTCAGGTGATCTTATCATCCCAAGGGACCTTTGTGAAGGAATGCCAGATTCTCGATGGGGCTCTAATAGCACACGAATGCATACATTCCCGTTGTAGTGCAAAAATCTCTGGCTTGGTAATAAAAAATCTTATGATCATGTGGACTGGGAAATTATTGATGAGACTTTGTCCAGAATGCCATTTGGCTCTTGGCCCTTTTTGCCTCCAAAATCCAGCATTTTACTTGGATAGCACTCTATGAAAGGGCTTTGACACTCGATCAACTATAGCGAAGGGGTATCCCTTTGCCTAATAGATGCACCATGTGCCTCAAAGCTGAAGAAACCAATCAACATCTATTTCTAAATTGCGAGGTTGCCTTGGCCCTTTGGACCGACTTTCTTCTTCTATTCAAGTGGTTGTGGGTCATTCCCCAATAGATCCCTCACCTCTCCTCCTTATGCCTTAGAACTCCCTGGAAAAATTCAGGAAATCTTCTATAGAGAGCTTCCATCTCAACCACTCTTTGGACCATTTGAATTGAGAGGAATAATAGGATCTTTAGTGGGGAGAGAGCCTCTACCTCAGCTCTTATTGAAAAAAGAAGGTCACTTGTCATATTCTGAGCCCTAACCCTCCCAAGCTTCTCCAACTTCTCCTTTTCGGATCTTCACCAAAATTGGCAAGCAGTGTTGCACGCAAGTACCCACAGGATTCCTCAAGCTTCTTTATGGAGGACACCGGAACCCGGGGCCATCTGATGGCTTCTCTCTAGGCAACCAGGGCCCCTCAGGCATTGGACGTCTGTTTAGGAATTTGACCTGGGCATATGCGTCTCCTATTTTATGCCCTGCTTATCGACAATTTGACCTGGGCATATGCGTCTCCTCTTTTGTCTAAATATGCATGGGAATTTTCAAATTTTGAATACTTTTTACTCTCATGGTTGAGTGAACAATTTATATGATTATATTACCTAATTTTGAGTTTTTTTTTTTTTCCATGTACCCCTAGCAAAATAACTAATCTTGAATTTTTTGCGTCGGAAACATGCATGCTTTGGAATTTCACCCCTATCATCATGCATAGAGGACATCACTTTTATTGAAGTCCATCCTGAAGTATACTATAGAGGTGAACGCAATTGTAGAGTTAAAAGTTCTTGAACTCTGAGTGATCTGAGCTGACTTGATTGCTGATTGGTATGCATGGGAAGAAGTAGAGGACATGTCTATCTTTGATGCCATAAAACAAGCTGTTCATTTGCATAGAAGATGCGGAATAAAGGGAGTTGCTAGCCCCACCTGCACCTCCTATTTCCTAGCGTTCAATAATCGAAGGCATCAATACTTTTATCAGCGAGTCATGGAAGGACCCCTTTCTACAACATGGGAGCTTGCTCTTGTGCGCATGTTTTTCTCGATTTGCCAAGGTTCTCATTTGAAATTGAAGGAATTAAACATGCATTAGCAATTGCTTTTTGTAAAGCCACATTTTGACATTCTCTTGACATTCGAAGCAAGCCAATGGCTTTGTGGAAGCCTCTTTTGTTGTTTATTACATCTTGTAATAGTGATTATGTTTGGAACTCAAGGCCCCTGCAAGGTCCCCTGAGCATTGGGCCCTCGCTCTTGGACCATCATAAGGGTGTCCTAGATCTATATGCTTCTATTCACATAGCTTATCTATTTCATCGAAATTGTAAGAGCATTAAACTGCACTCTATGCTAACGATTATTTAAGGAAAATAGAGAAACTACATAAAAATAACTAATTTATTCTCACCATGCTCCATAACCTCGTGGGGTATACAAATCCATTTGCTCGTTTTTGGATTCCCAAATCCTCAGTTTGCACTATTGAGTGTACGACGCAACATAGTTCCTCGAAGGTAGCCCACATTTATGTCTAGCTCTCCTTTCTAAACAAGAATTGTGATGCTTTTTCCATTCAGAGATCTGTTGTTGCTGCTCGTGTTCCCACTACACAATGTGCCTGCCGAACCTGTCCACCTGTGCCCATCTTTCAGGATTCCTTCGATTCCTCCCAGATACATGGAATCCGTACTAAAAAGAATTCAAAATGAGAAGTAGTCACTCCAAACATAGAAAATTGAAACAAAACAAAGAGCATTAGCAAGAGAAATAATGTTACTCGTTAGCAGCTACAGTGTCAGGATACTAAAGCCTAGCAGGTCTATTGCACAGTAGGATGGATCGATTTTGGCATTACTAAAGAACATTGCATTTGGCCTAAAGCCTATTGAAAAAAAATTTCAGGTTTTTTTTTTTTTATGATAATGTTAACTAAATTTTTTCATGGTTCAATCACAACAAAATACAACCATTTTCTTTTCTAGTCTGCATAGTGTGGCTGAACATGGGCCATGTATAACCAATCTGATGGGCATCCCACAAATTGTATATAAAATTCACAAACCACTTTGACAAACTTCAGTTGTGATCTAGGCCAAGTAGTTTTATATAGCCAATCTTGGTCTGTACCCAAGTCATAAAAAAATTGATTTTTCACTTCAATCATACCTAACCAGGGGTCTGAAATCGTAGTAAAGAATTGAGGATATTTTTAATTGATGGAGGTTATTATAGTGTCTTTATTGTGTTATGGCAACCCTAAATTAGTGAGTTTTATTATCATGGAATGAAACAACATGTTGAAGCCCTTGATAATGATCCACTTCTTGTATTTCCGGAGGGATTTTGTGAATAATGTGTGCATAGGTATGTTTAAGATGGTATGTAACTATGTGCATTTGATTTCATTTTAGGTGTACATTAAGAAATAATCAACATCACATGCCACTGTTTGTAGGCATGAATTTTGTTTTGGTCATTTATGACCTGACTGTTAGATTTAATCATAAATTGATGAGCATTTCGTAAGATGCAAAATAGCTTTTATTTTAGTTGGAATTCTTATTTCCTCTTCCCAATTCTATCTTGACCCATGGGATCATTGGATCTGGGGTCATTTGATTTTGATTTGTCATATGCATGATGATATTGTGCACCTCATGAGTTTGGCAGTATTTAATCTGCTCATAGAACATGTGAGTAGCTGAATGGATTACATGAATCAAAGATGCAGTTTAGACATGTTTTGGTGTGTGGCTCTACCACTATATCTGATTAATCTGTTGCTGGTTCTGACACACCAGTAGACAATCTGGTGAGGCTCACCAAACATGTCATTTTTTAGTGACAAACATGGAGGCATTTGCTTGATCACATCCCGAAATCTTTTTGATTGTAGTTTTTCTTATTTTTCTATTACTTTAATTATGTATAGATACTTTGGTAAAAGAATAATATTTATAATTTTAAAATTCATGTTTTGTTCTTTTAAGATGTTTAAAATATTAAGAAATTTTTGTGGTAATAGTACTAAATTGGAGAGTAATTTTTTGTA